CACAAGTTCATTTGCGTTGATGTTTAATAGTGCTACAATGAAAAGTTACCAAATTTTCATTGTTTTCGTGTAACGCCCCAGACTAAGAAACATCTTTTGCCTCTTAATTTTCCTATGTTCTTGTGCAATTGAGTGCCCTCGTGTGAACGCCTTAAGGGACTAGTCCTTGCTACCGGTCCCCTCGTGTAAACCCTTCAAAGACTTGTCGCCGGGACTAGTCGCACGGACTAGTCGCAGGGACTAGTCCCCTCGTGAGTACCGACCTTTAAATGATCATGCGACGATTTTCTCGTAAAAAGAAAAACAATTAGAGATCTTACGGAAAGAATTTTTTATTTCCAACGACGATTAATCTTCGAAGATTTACCTCTGTTCCGTTTTAAAATGTCTCGGAAAGTCAAATTGTAAGTGAATGCAAATTTGTGTTGGAGTTGTCAGTCTGCTTGTTTGTTTTCTGTAATGGCGTCTGTAAATCGGTTTTTCTTCCACCGAAAAGCTGAAGTCAATGAGACTCTTTCTACCTAGACACAAGGAGATTTAATGCGACTTTTATTCATCGAATTCCTGCGTTTCTGCTATGAAACTTACGACGAAAGTGTATTTTAGGATTTTGAACTGGTGCTGAGTAAAATTCTTTGTTAACCTAAACTTATAAATTCGTTTGTATCTGGCGCATGTCTAGTCTCCTCTCGCAGCCGTTCTTTGTCTCGGGATCCCTGCGTCTCCCTCACCACAAACGGCTGCTCGTGTTGACCAAACATTCCATTCCCTTTGTTTCATTCAACCAATGAGCGTTGAGCAGGGACCAGCTCTCAAAACTTCGCCAAATTTCATGTTTGTAGAGCTAAATATGTCATTTATCAATTTTTATGGCTGATGCCCCTGAGAAAGTAACTTGCAGTAATTTATCTTGATGTTTCCTGTGTACGTCAACAGTTTCGACTAAAGAAAGAGTTAGAATCTTCGGAAGATCTGCTGATGTAGCGAGCGTCATAAGTTTAGCACTGGGTGTAAACTTGGAAGCTTTCGACATTTATTTGAATTCTACTTTATATATATATATATATAGATATGTCTCAAATACTACAGAAAAGTTGCCAAGATTAAGAAATTAGAAAACGATCTCTAAGAGCTAAAAGATTAACTGAAAGCTGGCTATGATTCCATTCAAGATCACCGGATTAAAAGACTTCAACCATCACTTGACAGCGACTCGAACGCAAAGCGACCTTACGTAGCGAAAGCTCTCGATTTCACCGGCCCTAGCAAATGTGCTTCTTTGCCTCCAAGTCCTACAGTTGAACCGCTAATATCTCTGCCTTGTACGCCTCAATCATCTGGCGCATCAGCTAATACTGCTACCTCCTCGAATCTGTCTCCAGCATAAAAGTCAGTTGCATTCATAGCACTATTTTCTTTCCGGCAAATTTTCGCCAGACCTCTTCCCACATATCTGTTGTCTTCATTCCTTAACTTTAAATCTTATTTGGGATTCCATGTATAACCAGCTTAACTTCAGTGATGTCGGGATTGAATGTCTTTTCGCTATCTCTTGTTCCTGCTATATAAGTTTCGTAGAAGAGAAGAAGTCCCTTCATTGACCTCCTTGGAACATTGATGTTCTCATTGATAATTGTGTCAGAAGCTCTATCTATTGAGATTGTCTTGAGATGAGTGACATGCTCGTACATGAATCTATTTCCATTTAAGTAATTGGAAAAGGCTTGATCAACGAGTTGTTTTCTGTGAATGACTTCATACTCAAGTTGGATGTCAGTCAATTGATAACAAAGTTTTGGAGGGTCAGAGCCTTTTAGATCACCAGCAGCAGGTGTAAAATTGAGCTCAACTGAGAAGCTCATGAGAAAGAGCTGTGGGGAAAAAGACTCCATGATCTTTTAAAATCTCATGATCCAATGGAATCCTGTACATGTTTCCATTGACTTGATTGAGTTTCTTCTCTTTATCAACACCAGAGGTCTTCTTATTTCCAGCATCGCATCTGATTTTTGAAAGATCTGTAGATTGAATACCTTCTCTGAACATGCTTGCTCTCTGATTCTCAGTGAAGAAGAGGTCCTCATAGAGCTTGAATAGGTCAGAAGCATTAGTGTCTTGTACAATTTCTCCTGCAAACTTCAAAGTGAGTCTATCAACAAGAGCTCTTGATAAATTGTTCACGAGGAAATTGTTTGCATGGCCACTGACTGTCATGTTGAAGACGAGTGCAAGCGATCCAGGCACAAGTACTACATCATTATCAAGCTTTGAAACAGGAACCCTTAGGATCTCACCAGGAGAAGCTCTATTTGGGTTAAATGTTACTCTCTGAATAATGCAGTCTGCCTTGAGGGCGTTTGACGTCTTTTTTTCAAAACTCGGGTCAATTTGTTTACTGACTACATCAACTTCAACGACTTCCATTCTTTTAATTAAAAGATTTTTTTAAATAAAAATGGCAGATTTTGGGGATTCTGATCCTCTGTTTGAGCATAATGACGTTCTTGTAAGAAAAAACAAAAAAAAAAAAAAACTGAAATAATTACTACCTGACTCACTCAACACTCACAAGTTAATGACCGTCGACCTTGGCGACAATCCAGCTCCTTCCAGCTGAAATTTTCCATTATTCAGAGTGACTGGCAAAATATTTTTGAATGACGCTGTCACTTCCACCTTTTCTCACCTCTTCACAGACTTAGAAGATAACTGTGGATGGAGCGAAGATATAGGCAATGAGTATCTTGGCTGAAGAACATTGAGGAAAGCGGTGCATGAAATCGGCGATAGGAATGAACTTTCTTTCAGCTCGATTGAGGAGAGGCACACATTTTTAGATTTATCAAAATGGGAAACTAAGCGGCACATCTGGGGTATACGATTTAAAAGGTGACTTTGGCACAATCTGTCTCCTCATTAGGAGATGTTTAATGAGAGGTCCTCTTGAGATGTTTTAGATAGTTTTAACTCAGAGTTCACTACGTCTCTCGTCTATTGTCCTTTAATTTAGGGATTGACCAAGCCAAGTTGGTTTTCTGCACGGTACAAAAAGACGCACTCAGAAAATCTTACCGCGGGCTCGCTAGAAGGTTGCTTTCTCATCTGATTAAAATGGACGCGATTTTTCTCATTTTCCATAAAAAGACTTTTTGTTATTGACCATACGTTTCCAGTTTTCCTTGATGTCATATTTTTACGACAGAATTAAAGCTATAATGCTGTGAAATATTAGATCCCATTTCTGAGCTTTTTGTTTGTCTGCTTCTTGTCTGATAATTTTTTTTCTCACAAATATTAATAGATGTACAAGACAGATACTCATTCGAACGCATTTGACCTCCCTCTTCGTAAAGGAAACTTACACTGTATAAGAATGACAGAGGTTGATTTGCCCCCTGTGCCAGTAACTCGCTAACAAGCTACACCACAATTGGAAAAAATCCCCCCTACATCCCCCAAATTTTTCGTAGATACAAAACTACAATACAAAAGCTCAGGGTGTTTGTAGGCTGAAGTGACGTCCAGTCTGCGGCAGCCTTTACCAGGCTTTTTCGTGCTGATGGACTTGCCAATGCTGTGTTTATCCACATAGCCAGCCTTCATTACGCCGTCGTCACCATCTACATCCCAGTTCACCCGGTCGCTATTCACCTCAGCAAAAACAAAGCCTGTGTCATAAGGGAGATACACCTAGCCGTTCTTAACTGCCTTTACAGAGGCAGGACCGCAACGGAAGACACCTGTCACAGAATGAGAAAGGACGAATTCAATCAAATAGTTAAATCTGAAAATTTTGGCTTGACTCAGCCCAGAAAAAGTTTCGGCGATGATAAATAAGTGAGAAAGGCAATCTTTTCTCGTTTAATGCGGGATTTTTTGACAGCATCTTTGCACCTCCGTGCTAACGATAAATCCCGTGAGCACTGCTTTTGAAGAATAACAGGATGAAAGAACGAACTTTTTCTCGCCTTTTAGCCTCGAAAAGGAATCTGCATAGGTTTACCGTTTTTCCCAAGCATTTTGTTCTTGATGTTTTTGCCGTATGGGCGAAAGTAAAGCATATAGCACCCCAAAATAAGTGGGCCTCGGTAACATGAGTTTTACGCGCGAGTTTGAAAAAGGGATGGGTTAAGTGTCACGGTAGGGCCTTCTCCTGAAGAGTACACCGACTATATCAACTGCAATTTCGTGGATAGACTGTTTTGTAATAAGTTCATGCTTATGTGAGAATTTCCCGTTAAACTACCATTTCCGATGTGATCCCCTAGCAGGGAACAAGGTTGAATCAACTCCCTAATTCGAATGCCATTTTAAATGTGTCACTGACAATTAATTGAGGGCAGCATTTATTCGAAGGCCTCATACTGAACATGTTGCTGTAGATTATCAAAGTCAGCAGAGAAAACTGTTAAAAGTAATTCGTTTTGAATGGTTTTCAAAAACCTAAACCTAAATTCGCCAGAAACGCTAGTGTAAAAAAATGCATTTGCAATAAAAACGCCTCTTCAAATAAGCAATATGATGAGTAATAGAGGGGTTCCCATACTTATCGAGGCCCGGAATTATAAAAAAACCGTACATACCTTCACTTATCTCTTGAGGTGTGGCGTCATGCGCCTGCCATCCATCATGTCCATCTAGTAAATCAGCCTGAGGACGCTTGAACCATGATTCGTTCCACGCGTGGAAATTCCTAAAATAAGAGATTTATAACTTTTATAGTAGTTTGCTAATTACAAACACTCATTACTTGTTTTCTAGCTACGCAAAGACCTATGAGCAACTCTTTCACGAATATTCAGTGAGGAAAAACAGTTCGAGGAACAACTAATTTGTAAGCAGGTCACCATGTGTCAAAGGCATTCTGGTGTCCAAAAGCGTACACCACAATAACCCAGCCAGAGCTCTAACCCAGACATCTCAATTTAAGTTCGCACTTTTGTGTACGTAGATGTCTACGAATTAAAACGTTACTTGTCAACTTGCAATAATACTCAAAACTATCATGGAAAGACAAACATTTATCACGAAACTGACTGAATCCACTGAAACATTTAACACCAATTCCATAATTAAAGACTTCTATCGCAAGACAGGCCATGTACATTAAATTCAAGTTGAATAAATTGCAGTTTTTCCACTCACCAGACCGAATCATCATTGAATGCATCCAACGGATTGCCCTCTTCATCCCGGCGAAAGTCGATAGTCATACTATTGTCAGTGTCATGCGCGGATTCATAGTTTGTTACACTACGGGTGGGTAATCCCAACGCTCGCAGCACTAAAAACAATGCAAGTAAAAAACAACGCTGTATCCAAAATAGAAGCATCATTACATATCTAGGTTAATTTCTCTCCAGAGAAATCCCTGGCATATAAGACTATTTTTTTTAAGAAACATTTTGTTGTGAAGTAGCGCTGAGTATTTTTACGAGTTGTGCCGTATTTTGACGAGCCCGTAGGGCGAGTCAAAATACAAATAGCGAGTAAAAATACTCAGCGATACTACACAACTAAACGTCTAATAAGTTATTTATTATCCAACACACTAAATTGTTATTTCAGTGTGGGCGAATTTCGCGGATATTTATTTANTTTAACCGGTTCTATGGAGTACAAATACTGTGTGATATCTGTACTCGTCTATGGCGTTATTTGTACTCTACGGAGTGTAGTTGAATATCAGAATCCCACTCAACCTACGTGTAGTGACCAGTCCCGAGAACACCCAGCACTGCCCAAATCTCACAGAAGACTTCTTTTTCATGAATTTTTCCAGAATGGCTGTACTTCCGGTTCAAGCAAATGGCGGAGTGCAGTTCTTGGGGTACTTCTCAGTCCATCGTCCAAATAAAATTCCACCATCACTATCCCTGTGGTTTGCCTTCAAAATAAGACAAGACACCATAAGATTTCTATCCCTTGTTACTTATATATACTCTCATGTTAGTTTCTTAATTGATGATTCACCTTTTTTTTCAGGATAACCTCAACTATCCCGTCTAAAGACTTCTTTTTCGTTTCCCTAAAAATTCGAGTCAAATTTGTCACAGAAAAACTTTACTAGCTTTTAAAACATTTCAGAAATAAGGATACTTTATGAAGAACAAGGATAGTTAAAGCATAGAGGAGATATTCCCGAATTGCACAAGTGACCGTGGGTTTCAAAGTGTCACTAACATCAAGATCAATGGACAAACTGTAACGAAGATATTTCAAATACATCCAACTCAATGATTTGAGCATCGCATTTTGATTTATAATGCATAGTAATACATGGAAAGAATTGTTCTTAAAATGGAAAAACTGACTAGGTAGCTTTGAAAGCATATAGGCATTAACAAAGTAACTGCTGTACCAACCATTGCGGTTATAATTCGTGAAATCTGGATTGGACTGGATCTCGAAGTTGCAGAGAGTCGCGTTTTGTTTATCAGCCATAATGCACATTCCAGTGAGACGTCTTCAAACTAAGAAAAATATATCGATGCTTAATGGCCAAAAACAAAAACAACAAAAACAACCAACTATTTATGTGTCGTAAGAATAACAGATTGAGTAACATAAAAATCCCCTGATGAGTGAGCAATCACGAAACAGGCTTGTAGGGATAAAAACGTAGTCGCCGTATTTTTCTACTCAACATATATTGCGCTCTTCTTTAATGTATCACGTAATTTGTAAAAAAGGGAAAAATATGAAAAAAATTAAAGAAAAGAAAAATGAGAATGGAAGTGAGTGGATTAAGGTCTCAAATATCTCGTACTTAAATCAAAAGGATTATAAATCGCCGCAAGTTTGCTTGCAACGAACAAAAGAAACAGTAAGGAAAAAAAACGTTCTTTTTTACCCGGCCGAACGTCTAAGGCATTTCCTCCTTTTGTTTCGCAGAACCCACCCAGATGTATCCAAATTCATTTAACACATATTCTCTTCGATAATCTTCTCTCGCCATGTATGCGGAGTCCTCTGACAACAAAATGATGACAGTTTAAGAACGTGGTATTGACTCAAAAATTACAAGCAAGCAAATTCCTATAACAATAATTAAAAATTGCACCGAAACAATAGAGCAGAAATTGACCTTTTTTTTTAATAAGAGGTGAGAGTAAGAAGCGAATTTACTATAAGAGAAGGAGACGAAGCAGCACGTAGATGTTAAAAATGATAACAGACCTAGAAATACAGAAATAATAGTAAGACAGAGAAAACAAGGAAGAAATAGGAAAAAAAATTAACGATGGTTTCACAACATTTGTATTTCACTGCAGGTTTAGCACGCGTCTTGTATTAACCTTTGCACCAGGCGTTAAACAAGACGCAGACTGTGCCACCATCCTTGTACTTAAACACTGATTTCTTGTCATCGATCATTATTGTCTCTATAAATACTTCATACTGACCAATCGGAGACTTAGCGGATGGCATTATAGTCAAATAGTCAAAAGAAGAGTTTTCCCTCTAATCTGGTTTATTTTCATTCCCCACTCAGCAGGAGTGAGGATCTCCTGTATTGCAACTCGGACTACAGAGCCATTGCTCTCCTGACGACGACTTCGTAAACATGCAGTTTAATAAAAGAAATCAGACAGAAAATAAAGCACGTTGAAAGGGCGTAAACAGGATTGTGGGATCATGTGTACTTCCAGTTAAGTATCGGTCCATACTATCGGCCAACATGTCGCGACCGATATTCGGTCGGCCGATGCTCGGTCGACTTATCGACCAATACTATTTACCGAGGTCAGTTTTTCTGAACTGAGATCGGTTGCACAGAAATAAAAACTGATCCTCGACCGAGTATCGGCGAACATGTCGGCCGGTCCTCTCTCGACCGCAACCCATGTCAGACCGTTAGACGGTCATGCCTTAAGTACACATGATCCTAATTGTGTAGAAGGAGCAGGTATTTGGAGGCATATCAGGTTGCCTAAAGGCTCGATTTCAGCCGTTTTCTGGTAACTAGATCTTCAGGTGAAGAGCGAGGGCTCATTTCCAGAAAACCCTTGGCTCCATCCTAGCTATTCTTCCATGAGATTAGAATTTAGATTTATGAGCCGAACAAAGTCCTTGTAGATGTTTGAAGTGACGGGGCGTGCAGTTTCTTCCATGAGATAAGTCTTATGCAGCTGTGCTAAAGGGGAGTATGACACTCTAGTTACTTAAGATTTTTGTCTGAGTTTTCTAACATTTGACATCGCAAGCTTGACGAAGAGCACTAAAAATTCTTCCAGTGATGCGTGCTCGGTCCGAGACAATTGAAGTGGATCCTTTGAAAGGGTCTTTAAGGTGCTTACGTTCGATTTGCGATGCTTTTTCGAATATTTGTTGAGCTCTTACGCTTTACAGTAGGATTTGAACTGGGAGGGGGCCTACCAGTTCCACGTGACTAAAACCAGAACCTAAGTCACATATAAGTTAATTTCCCACAAGTTCGCAATTCTTGGCAATTGAATTAAAAGTTCAAAGAAAAGTACCAACCTATCTCAAACTGTAGTACAATGTTGTCAATGTCAGGTTTGTATTCTCTGTTAAACGTCACAGTGAAATGAAATGTCTGTCCCCTTCTGATGATCAGATGTTCTGTCTCATAGTGTTCTGTGAGCAAGCCTGTTGTCCTTTATATGGAAAATGGAAATCCACTCCCACTGGCTCCAACTGGGATGCTCAGAAATAATATTTCGTTAGGATTAATTTCATATTCTGTTTTAAGAGGTATAGCCGCTGATGTGCAAGGGGTGAATGGCTGTCTGTTCGTGGACGTTACAGTTCCAATGTAGCGTGCTTGATCGGGCAAAAAACGGTGAACCGTGCTAAGGGAAAACAAACAAACAAACAGACAGAAACCAGGATACAGACTTTTTATAAGTAAAGCGAATAAATGATCATCTTTTTAATCTGATATTTATCTAGGATGACGTGGGTTCAATTATGATTAGATTGCGCAGCCTCACTCTAAGAGCGCAGCGCGGCAAGCTAACTTTTTTACCTTTTTTTTCGCTGTTTTTTTATTCCTGCGAAAGACTTCACCTAACCGGGGGTCTGCCTGTAGTCTAAGGTTGATTATAGTTCACCACTAAATTTTCTCCGATTCGTATTGGTTTAAATCCATCACGTGACGCGATAGTGTTCATCCGTGGAGAGACACTATCAGCCTATACTGCCCGCCCGTGAAAAATTTTGGATGGTTTGACGGCCGCGAAGTTAGGCAAATCGGAGAAACAGTGACTTTTCAATGCTGGTTGCCAGTTATTGACATTTGTGACCTGCATTTTGGTGGGTTTTGACTGTTTTTCAACTGGCGCGCAGAAGAAAATTTAATGGTGAAAAATAAAGACAATAAAGTGTTTATGTCTCGGAACTATCGGTCTGCTGGTTGCCTCTTGGAATTTGATGTTCTTAAAACTAGCATATTTGTTTTAAGAACATCAAATTTCCGCGGGGCAACTATCAGCCGATAGTTCCTCGAGAGAAACACTCTATTGTTTAAATAGATTGCATAGGAAGTTTGAACTGGTGTTGCTTTACTGTTTTGTCAATTTTATATTGTGTTACCTAATACTCGTTGATTTCCTTCTACACTAGTATACTACAACGATGATAACTGCTGATAATACTATTACGCTGTACTCAAGTAATTTCCCTGGAGACGTTCCATTATTCAATTGTTAAACCGACTATCAACAGTACATGACATGATTCATTAGTCTTCATACTTTCATGTTTTGGTTGTATGTTAGGCTTATTTCAGAGTGTTCGGCAG